CGGCGAGACCTCGGGCCGGCTCTCCGCACCGGGCGCGCGCAGCGGGCACCACGCCCTCGCGGTTCCTAAGAACCCCGAGCGCCTTGGGCTTGGCTCAGGCTTCCCTGGCCCGGGAAACTCTGGAGGAGGGCTGCTTTCGCCAGAGACGTTTGTTTCCCACGGTGTTCCGGCCAGAAGTCGGTTGCCGTGTCCAAGACATGGTTCCCGACCGATCAACGCGTATTTGAAATAAGGCGCAGAGACCAAAGGATATTCATCCTAAACAGGCACGTGTCGGTGTCGGTGTAGGGTAGCTAAGGAGTAGTAACACTGCCAGGTGCTGGTAGGCAAAGACAGAGGAAGGTGGGAGACCGGGAGGGACCCGAGAGAGCAGGATAGTGTGGGCGCAAGTCACCAGCCTCAAGGCCCGCGGTGGAGCGTGCACTCCTGGACATGCGTGTCCCGTGACTGAAAGGGTGGGGAGACTTCCTTTCACATCAGAAGTGTGCTAGCACTGTTGGAACCCCTGTGAGATGACACGGGTAGGTCACTACCTGAACTGCACGTGGGCCGAGGCTGGCACCGTTGGGAAGCAAAGGGTACGTGCAGAGCCAGGGTTCTGGACGTGAAGCAGGGCGGAATAAACTGCACGATGGCTTGAGGAGGGAAAGACTTTTTGGACGCAGTAAAAGGTAGAAATGGAAACAGGAAACCTGTTGGAAGGCCCTTTTCCAGATCGCATCAGGACGGGTGATTAAAACAGGGCCAAGAATGGTTGTGCTGTGATCACCGTACAAGCACACCTAGCTGAATGAGCCAGGCGAGGCAAAATCCAGCCCATCTCCCAGTGGCCATGCGCTGTGCCCTGGGACAAAGGGATGCCCTCTTTGTCAATTCACACGAAGGTACCATATTCCTGCCCAACTGCATTTCCGCTGCAGTAGGCACCTTTTGCTCATTTGCTTGATGGGCCTGTGAACCTGCATTGGGAGTTTTGTGATTCTTCACAGTGTATTGGTGTGAGTCCCCTATCCAGTCATGATGTGGAGGCAAGGCATGACACCCCAGAGCTGTGACACGAGGCAGCTTTTGGCTTGATATGACAATTTGGGCTGGGCGCTGTTGCTCATACCTGTAGTCCCAGCACTTTGGGAGGCTGAGGTGGGAGGATTGTTTGGGTCCAGGAGTTCAAGACCAGCCTAAGCAACATCGCGAGCCCTCATCTCTATAAAAACCAAGAAAACCCAAATCTGACTCGTTCCTAAAACAGTATTACCCTTACCCCGGGACAGAGCTCCCTGTGAGAGAGGGGCTCTTCATGGTAGCTGGTAGGGGGCACTTGCAATTCTCCTAAGTAGGACCAGGTGCCTTTAAAAATGCCATCCAACTCTAATGTTATGCAAGTTTAGTTGTTATGTTCCAGCCAGGACAGCTCTTAAAATAGGCTTAGCAGGAGATGAGATTTCAAGTGCTGATTCTGTGGTGGAATGACTTTAGGGCAGGTATGTATAACCTCCACTTCCCCATGTCACAAGTGATTTCACAACTCTTAGCCAAAGCAGTGCTGTAAAAATAGTTTATTTGTTTAAGAAAAAAATACTGTAGTTGAAAAGTACCTTCCTTCTGGGATTTTCAAATTCTTTGCACATTTCCTTGTATTCTTCCAGGCAGCAGAAACAGTGGACATGAGAAAATGGATGAACATAAAGCTTTTTATACACTTAACATAACCAGTGTAACCAGTCTCGTTCTGCGGGCTGAGAAGGCAGAAGAGCCATTTAATTTAAAAGGTTTTTGCTTCTAACCTCACTCCAACTCCTGGAGAAATCTAGGATGGGTGACTATGGCTTTATGACCATCTGATTCCTCAGGGACAGGATAGAATTCAAGGGAGTTTAAATGCTTGAAGTAATTGTCAGTATTGTATTCCAATCAACTCTCCCAGAAGGCTGAGGTAGGAAGGCAGCCTGGACTTCCTGCTTTTTCTGCACACAAAGGCCTCCTTCACCCTTGCCAGCTTGCTGGGGACCCATTGCTGCCCTGCCACCCACAGATCCTGTCAAATGCACAGCAGGAGACTCACCACCCCAAAGGGCTTCCTCCGCCCATGTGGGCTCATCACTAGTTGGCAGTGCCCCTCAGCACGGACTAAGGAGTGTTCCTTCCAGGAGGCTCTTCCACAGGGAGAAACAAGTATTGCCCACGTTGGGCCCGCGGGCTGGCCGGGCTCCAGAGGCTTCTACTTTTCATTCCGTACAAAAAGCCTCACGTTCTTTGCATTACATTCTTCAAAGACTTTCATGCTTGCCAACTGGCTACAACTCAAGCTTTGGTGTTTACTCTTGCACAGCCCAAAGCCCCTGCAAACCCAGGTTTCTTCTATCAGTGACATCACCCATTATGGCCCAGGAACCACAAACCTTAAAATATTGGTTTAGGCTGGGTACAGTGGCTATAATCCCATCACTTTGGGAGGTGAAGGTGAGAGGACTGCCTGAGCCCACAGGTTCGAGACCAGCCTGGGAAACATGGTGAGACCATGTCTCTACAATAAATAAAAAAATTAGCTGGGTGTGGCAGTGCATGCCTGTCGTTCCAGCTACCTGGAAGGCTGAAGCAGAAGGATGACTCGAGCCCAGCCGGTTGAGGCTGTGGTGGCCGTGAGCGTGCCACTGCACTTCAGCCTGGACGACAGAGTGAGACTCAAACTCAAAAAAAAAAAGACATAGGCATAACCTGAGTGAAGAACACGCCATATTGAGTGGGCACAATAGAGCTATCAGATTTTTGTTGTTGTTGTTAGAGTCTCACTCCATTACCCAGGCTGGAGTGCAGTGGCATGCTCACGGCCATCCCAGCATTGACCCACTGGGCTCAGGCGATCCTTCCTCAGCATTCCAAATAACTGTAATTACAGGCATGTGCCACCATGCCTGGCTAATTTCTTGATTTATTGTGGAGATGAGGTCTTGCCAAGTTGCCCAAACTGGTCTCAAATCCATGGACTCAGGCAATCCTCTCACCTCAGTCTCCCAAAGTGCTGGGATTACAGGCTTGAGCCACTGCACCCATCCTCAGACTTTTTTTTAAAGACGGTCAAGAACATATCTTGTCAAATGAGTGTCAATTCTGAAGCAGCCTGCTGGAAAGTTCCACTTAGTCCAACACTATTGCCACTGTCCAACACAGCATGAGGCCGTTCTTTCTGGGGCATCTGTGGGAAATACTCTGAAACATACTCCTTGATGGGAAGCACTAATTTTGGAAACAGTTTGTAAAAGATGTCTAGAGGCAGGCCTGGTGAATATACTGGATGGTGTCATCTTTAACCAAGATAAAGGGTGGTGGGACACAATGGGGCTGAGCCGTAGGGCTGTTCACTGGCCTAGGACCATCCTCAACAGGCATTTCAGACATGCCCCCAAGCAATGGCTGTGTCACCTCTCCTGGGTCAGCTCTGAAGGACCTCTCATTCTTTTTTTTAATTTTTAAAATTTTTATTTATTTATTTATTTATTTATTTGAGTCGGAGTCTCACTGTCACCCAGACTGGAGTGCAGTGGCCACTCCCGGCCACCGCAAACTCGACCTGCTGGGCTCCAACAATCGTTCCGCCTCAGCCTTCCAAGTAGCCGGAATTACAGGCATGCGCTACCATGCCCGGCTGATTTTTTGATTTATTGTAGAGATGAGTCTCGCTCCCCAGGCGGGTCTTGAACCTGCGGGCTCAGGCAATCCACTCACCTCAGCTTTCCAAAGGCGCGGAATTACAGGCTGAGTCACTGAGCCTGGCAGAACTTCTTTTTTTTGAGATGGAGTTTCACTGTCATCCAGGCTGGAGTGCAGTGGCACGCTCACAGCCACCACAGCCTGGACCTGCTGGGCTCAGGTGATCCTTCCGCCTCAGGCTTTCAAG